AACAAACAAGTTTTACTATAGAGGGATACAATAACAAAACTATATAATACGACTTCATTCTAACTTCCAGAATGAACATGAAGTAAACATGGGTAACACCGCAGCAATATATCACATAGCAAATGTGTTCAAGACAGATCCCACAGATTTTTCAGCAAACCCCAAGCACTATTGACAGTGTGGATCATCAATCTCAAAAACGTGTCTCCTCTACAAGAAATTCCAATTCTTCACTGTTGAAGATCTGGCTTTGAAACTTCCTCAAACCTGCTCTGTCATGGACAGCCTCAATGACCATTGGTAATTCTGGTATTTCAATCTCTTTCCTGAGATCACATTCCATTGGATTCCTGAGACATTTTTCATTTTGTCATGCATGATGCTGACTAGGCCAGCATTTATTGCCCATCCTCAAGTGCCCTGGAGATGGTGATGAGGAGCTCTCTTATTAATCTGCTGCAGTCTTTGAGGTGTTTGACCCAAAATGCTGCTGGGCATTCCAGGATTTTGAATCAACATCCGTAAAGGAATTTCAACATATTTCCAAGTCAGGATGGTGCACGGTTTGGAGGGAAACTTGCAAGTGGTGACGTTCCTACGTTTTAGCTACCTTCTAGATGGTAAAGGTCACGTGTTCATAAGGTGCTGCTGGAGGAGGCCTGGCAGTTACTGCAGTGCATCTTGTACATGGTCAAACTGTTACCAATGTGCACTCGTGATGAGGGAGTGAATATTGAAGGTAGTGGATGGGCTGCAAGTCAAGTGTGCTGCTTTGTCAGTGATCAGTATCGTACACAGTACTGCAGATGTGGAGGATACCTGGTACTGCTCCTGGTGTGCTCTGGTGCATTATTCATTCACTGCTCTCCAGCACGAACTCACGAGCATAATCACAGCTATTTGCTGATAGTTAGCTTCATGAAGGTGACTCTGCCTATGGGTTTCCTTAGACACTGATATTTCTCAGCTGCAGCAAGCTAATGCTGCTTGTGGGCTTTATGTGCCTCACTTTTAGCTGCATTGAACCATTAATGGCTCCCAGTGCTTCCGTTGAGCCCAATGTGTTCTGGATGCCTCCCAGGAAGTTTCTAAACCTAACCCTACCCTCCAGTTGCACCTACTCCTAGGATTTGAGCTCTTATTGCTCAAAGCTTCCTGCAGCAGGACTTTTCAGTATGGAGCTTCTTTCTCTCAAGTGCCTGACCGACAAGGAGCCCAAATGTATAACAACCTTCTGCTTTGACTATCGCCAATTATCTTGCTAATGATGACTGTTCAGTACGTTTTGAACTATTTGGAGTGATCTTTCAACAATATAGCAACCATTGAACCATCCTGTGCCTATGTTACAATCTTAACAGACCGCCAAGTCCACACCTGACAAATGCATTTTTAAAAAATGGACTTTTGTTCGGAGAATTAAAGCTAGGTTAGTTTAAAGGCATTCAGTAAACCATGAAAATTTGTAAAATCTATTTTCTTCATCAGATCAAATATAATTGTAAATGAGGAATTTGAAAGTTGGTTTGAGAACAGCCTAGAACAGGTTATATCATTATGATGAAGAATGGAGTTTTAGAAGGTTTTCGGGTTTCAATTTATCTGGGTGTTTTCTGAAACAGTTAGCTACAGTTTGAACCTCAATAAGAGATAGCAAAGCAAATAACAGATAGGTAGGTCTGTGCTGTAAACAGAATTAAAAAAAAGGTCCGCGTGGACTGCAGATGAAGCTTAATTATAGTTTGAATATTGTGAGGAGCAGAAGATAGAAGATTCTTGTGTTTGAAGCTGCAGAGAGAATCTACTCTCAGATTATCAGGGACAATCCAAGCCTTACAGTATCTTAGTGTAAAAGAAAGTTATTAGTTGAATTAGCTTGTATATATTAGAAGATAACCAGAACAAGAGACCAGGCAGTAAAGAGAAGGTAAATTAATGTTTTACCTCTGAGAATAGCTTGAGCCATGGACAATTTTCCATGGAACCGTGGCATACTTATAGATGTTACATACAGATGTAAAAAACTTCAAGGTTGATGTCTCTCATAGGAAAATTCTTGGAAATGAGAAGTAAACCTAAGTGTTTAATGACATATGTTGTTAAAAGAAATATTGTTAATGTGTGTGTTATGTTAAAGTATTTTATACAATAAAATGTTTTGCTAAAAAAAATTGAAATCTTATGGTTCAGTTCTTTAGTTAAGATGCCATGTGTGGATTTCTACTTACATATTAATAGTCCCTTACCAACCTGTTGTAATTAATTGACGTTTTCCTTAAGTTTTACCATGAAATTGAAATATGAACCAATCAGATGGAACCACTTTGTTGCACTGAACCTAAACAAGCTTGGAATTGTCCTTGATAACCTGTGAGTGTAGGGGCCTGCTTGGAAATTTTACATCTCCACAACAATGTGCACAATTCATACTTTTCCTCATTCTCCTCTTAACAAGAGCAGATACATTATACCCTAGTCATATCTTAGATGCCAATAATATTCAAACGAAGAAAACTAAAATGAAGGAATGGAATAAGAAAGCATGAAACAGTATTTAAGAAGGATGTACATGTTCTCTGAAGATGTTATTAATGAGTTTTGTTTCAACCAAGGTACAGCTGGGCCTGTACCTGGACAAAGGTCTGAAGCTGCCAGGACCGCCCCATCATTATGAAGACTAGGGATGTAATTTTACAGTCCCCTGATGTTGGGTTTGCAGGCAGGGAGAACTTGTAGAATTCTGAGAGTGTCCTTCCACCACCTATCTACCTGCCCTAGCAATGATTTTACAGGGGTCAGGTCAGCCCCAGAGCAATCTGCCAGACTGTGATCCTACTGAGGCCCTTGCGATCCATTAATGGTACTTAACAGCCACTTCCCAGTTGTCATTTTGGGCTGGAAGAAGCTTGGTATGGATGCCAGCATAAGTCAGCAGTTTAACCAACACATGCCTTGGGCTGGAAGAGGGGGTGCTTCTCTTGCAGCCCTTTTTGCCAAATTTGAACGCACCCTCATGATCTTTTCTACACCCCCAGTTGTACCCTCCACCCCTCCCCCACCCAAAGTCTGTGTTTTTCTACTGGCTCTGATATTGATATATTTCTACAAGCGAGAACTGTATTGCACATCTTTCAGTTGTCACCGAAAAATAGGTAAATCTTATAAGTGTGAAACAAAAAAGTTAATACTGTAATCTATTGTTAGCCTCCGAAAAGAAATTTTCAATTATTGACCTGCCTCTTAAAGATAAAACTATGCAGACTACTTAAAAGTGGTAAGTTTGAGACAAAGACAATATCAATATTTTTATAAAATAAATTGCTAAAGTGTTCTTAAGGTTCATACTTGTGGCCTAAATCTTACCAATGTATAACATCCCTATTAATCTCTCTCTACACCCATTAAATGTTATCAACATTTTTTTGCTTAACATGTTGCTAATTATTTTTCAAATAAAAAAATCCAAGATTAAAGAATTGGAAATATCTGGTTTCATGGGATATTATGAGACATGAAACAGGTTTGAAGTGTGGTTGCTACCATGACTGTGCAGTAGATTCCAAAGTAGATGCACAGTACAGAAGAACCTGCTTTGTGATTAGTGTTAGTTAGCATGCAAGGTTCGGCATAAAGGTGCTAACATTGTAACTACAGTTGTATTCACTGTGAAGATGGCACGGCTAATTTTAAATGCAACTGTGTGCTCTAAATATTACCTTATTTTATTTCAGATACAAGCTAATTAAATTACTGTCAAGGATTGAAAGTAAAATAAGTCCCGTGTAAATAGTTGAATTCCAAAACATATAATTCCATAACACATAACTGACTATAGTTCAACACTGAGTGGATAATGTCTTTCTGACAGACAGTAAGGAAACATTGGATGGGAAGTCGTAAGCTTATTTCTGTGTTATCCTGGCAACTCTATCCAGTATGCTCTCCACAAGAGAATTACCATCAGCAGGCATGATTTCCACATGAACCTGAGAATTTATGAAGATATTCAAGAGAATCAATACCAATAGAAAATATCCTCATGGTTTCCTAAGGTGTTAAGGATGTGAATGTCTTAATTTTTTATTGGGTCCTTCCAAGACCTCTGTCATTGTAGCAAAACGTTTATCCAGCATTCCTGCTCAGAGAATTGAAACAGGCAACAATGTCGTGTCCTTAATGGCGTAATGCACTTGTACTAGATTTGCAAATGTCATCACTCCTATCACTTTGAATAAGGTATGGGCCTCACTGCTGTAAACAGTCCTTCTGCAATTATGTATTATTATTTTTAATGCTGATACACCAAGTGATTGTTAGTATTTACACAGTAGTTCTAAATTGAATTACTTTGGTGAGAGTGAGATAGCAATGGTAATTTTAGTGTTGTAAAAAAGTTGTGTGAGCTCAAGTTAAAAGTGTTATATTGACCCATAGTGTATATATATAAATTTTCTTGCAAGTTCTATCCCATGTCTCAGGTTTGAGATTTTATTCTGAAGGTAAGCTACATTTTATTCTTAAAACCCTGCTTTATATTAAAGTAAATATGATAAACTTAATGAGACAGACTTAATGAAACTGAATACACACTTAATACTTGATGACCATTTTCATTAAAGATTAAATTTGTGAGAATCATTTAACTTTCTAGTTCTGTCAATTTATAATCAGGCTTACATCAGGAAGGACAAAATCAATGTATATTTGCAACAAAAGAAAACTATAGTCAGAACGTTCTAATGCTTCCCATGTTGCAGAACAATAGCTTAGAAGAAACAGGTTTACTGTCAATGTTGATTCTCTTGTTCAGCAATATATCAGGATAAAATGCTACCAAAAGCTAAGGACAAGCAAGTTAAAGTATATCATTTGATGAACAGAGTAAAATAATGCACAAACACACATTTTTCAGTATATAAAGTTAGATCAATGGCATGAGTTATCCAAAAGTATGTTTCAGATAAGAATCTGAATTGCCCTCAAGTTTTAAGGAAAGTGCATCATTCACTTACCTTATCTTCCAGACGGATCAGTCTGGCTCCTGCAGTGTAGTAACCTTTGTCTAGTCCCTTTTCTATAATTTAGGAAAGAGCATAAAGATTCACTTTAAAAAAGAGTTTTGTTACTGCTCTCAATGAACAGTTTTATGAAAAATGTATTAATGGTTAATCATGATGTACAACTTGTTATAGCACCAAGACTTTTTGCTACAAACAATTATGGCTTTATACCCACTGTTTCATAACATAATAGAGTTGAATTTCAGAGATAGTAGGAACTGCAGATGCTGGAGAATCTGAGATAACAAGGTGTAGACCTGGATGAACACAGCAGGCCAAGCAGCATCAGAGGAGCAGGAAGGCTGACGTTTTGGGCCTAGACCCTTCTCTGATGCTGCTTGACCTGCTGTGTTCATCCAGCTCTACACCTTGTTACCTCAGAGTTGAATTTCATTTGAGAAGTATCATCCTGGCCTGATTACAATTTTCAAAATAATTCACAACAGTGTAAGATAGGCCAGGAACTTCCTTGGAGCTACACCCTGCACATCGGCTGCAGAAAACCCTTTGGTGAAGTGTGAAAGCGGGATTTTCTTCCACTACCTTCAAATTTACAACAGTTCTGTTGAAATTCATTGCTAAAGATTGCAGGAGCAAATTTCTTACATATGCTTTTAGCTACACAGAATGTGTATGGTTAGAAAATGCCATTTTGAGAAAAGTGGTTAAGTAATATAAATTAAAGAAATAAAGAACAAAATAAAACAGCGGTTATACATTAATTACCATCAAATTGTTATTGTCTGACATTTAACAGCAAAATGATTAGGAAGTTAAAGTTTATTATTAACATATTGGTGAGGCTTTCTAAGCATGCTCAATTTTTGGAACAGATATAATCAGCTAAATTTAAAATTTGATACAGTGGGTACAGGAATAGGGTAGTGGGATGGGTCTGGGTGGGATGCTCTTTGGAGGGTCGGATTGGACTTGTTGGGCTGAATGGCCTGTTTCCACACTGTGGGGATTCTACGGATTGATACTTCTATGGAAGATCAGTTTCACAGTGGCAAGCATCATTTTTAATGTTGGTCTGAAAAACATAACATTGGATACAATTGCAATATATTGGTCAGGATTCGGTGGTTGTACTAACAGTGAAACAGCATTCAACATCATTCCTGGGTAAAACTGACAGCAACTTCTGGCACCTTCATAGGTGCAGTAAAAAACAATCGAAAGTTGTTATTGGTGGTATCCATCTCCAACAAAAGATGTACTGTTGCACAATTTCGAGATGTAATCTACACAACCAGTTAATTCACATGAAATTGTTAAAAGTATGTTAACCATTAGAAGGGTAGAGCTTTGTTGATGGTATAACTGAGTTTTTAACTGTGAGCATACTTAGGGATAAACAAGCTCTCTGCCTGAAAAAAATAACTTCCCAAGTACCCTATTCCATAATACAATTTATACGATTTTTAAGTTAATTAAACTTATTTTAGTTTAGCTTTTAAAGATATTTTAAATGATATTTTAGCGTCTTCCTCCAGTGAGTTATCAAAATGTCTATCACTATTTATGGCTGGATATTTGCAGGACTACAAATCTTAGATTTGATTCATTGGTTGTGGGTGACAATATTAGAAATGCAGTCAACCAGAAGAGCTCCAGTATTGACTGAGAGCAAAGCTCACTAGATTCTGTATTTTGGGTCATTCTTGTTTGGAGAGCACTCTTGTGGTGCAGTGGTGGTATCCCTGCCTCTGAGCCAGTCCTACTGCTCTAGAGGTGTATCATAACATCTCTGAACAGGTTGATTAAAAATAAACAAAATGGGTTTCTGCACCAACCCTGGTGGACAGTATAATTCTATGAGAGTGACTATGTTCACTTTGGCACAAAGGAGAGAATTGCTGAAAACAGAAAATGACTGTGGAATTCAAAGGTACAAAGGGATTTGGGTATTCTGGTATACGAGTTGCAAAAAGTTAGTATGCAACTGATTAAGAGGCTAATGGAAGGCTGTCCTTTATTACAAGAGGAATTGAACATAACAGCCTTACTTCTGTGGTACATTTATACAGGGCATTGGTGAGGTCATATCTTGAATACTCTCTGCAGTTTCGATCTCCTTATTTTTGGAAGAGTGTGCAAGTGGTAATTCAGAACGTTTTAGTGGAATGATGCCTGGAATGTCTTTTGAGGATAAGTTGTTCAGGCTTGGCTTGTTTCCTCTGGTATTTAAAATGAGGAGTGACTTGACGGAAGTGTATAGGATACTGAATGGTCTTGACATGGTTGATCTGTAAAGGATGTTTTCATTTGTGGGAGAGTCCACAATGAGTGGGTACTATTTTAAAATTAAACATGACTCTTTCAAGACAGAGATGAGGTTTTTTTTTCTCTCTGAGGGTTGTGAGAGTTTGGAACTCTCTGCCTCAGAATGCAGCAGAGGCAGGGTCATTGAATCAAGGTAAATAGATTCGTGTTTATTTTTGATAACCTGTTTTTCCTCATCTGCCTGTTCAGAGATGTTATCCCACACCTCTGGTGCAAGTGGGACTTGAACCCAAGGCCTCCCTGGATCTTGGCAGGGACACTATCACTGTGCCACAAGAGCACCTAATAAATGGACTCTTGTTAGGTGAGGGAATAAAAGATTATCAGGTGTGGATAGGAATGTGATATTCAGAATACAAAACGGTCAACAATGATCTCACTGAATGGTGGGGAAGGCTTGGGGGGCTGATTGGCCTATTTCTGCTCCTGGTTCATATTTTCAAATTCAAAGTTCCTTGCATAGAAAGAATTTTTAAAGTTTTAATGGAAAATATTACAACAATGTTAACATTACCTGAAAGAAAAAATGCAGGCTTTCCCAAAGAATGATCTAACCTAAAACAGAGACACAAAGCCCTTTATTATTATTGTAACTCTGTGCAGCTACAAAGCAGTGATGTGGTAGTACTGTGTACTTTCAGTAGCTCACTTCTATTTTTTGAAACAATCACACTTTATTTATCATTGGTAGATCTTCCCTGCCATTACTCATTAGTTGTTTCAGATGTGGAGTCTGATATTATTCAAGTTACAGCCATTTGTCTGTAGCTGAAGTTCAGCAAACCTTCTGGAGCAACATATCACTAGCAGTGTGTCTTGGTAAACATCCTGTACACTGTACAGATATTCCAAGATATATTCTTCAGGCATAATAATGCAAAAACTTACAATTTTTAAAAAATGTTTACTATTCAAAAATCACTTAACAGCATTTAACCTTTTTAAGCTGTTGTGGCCTTGCTGGATTTGCAGAATTTCCTGAGAGTGCAAGCATTTAATTTATCCTTTTCCCTATTGCTATGCCATCTCTTTTGTAATATTTACATGCTTCAAAATATTTATTCCCATTTACCTCCTACTGAAGTTGTCACTACTCAAGCATCCCTCAGAGCTTTCCCATTTAAGTCTCTAAGGAACACACCTAACAGAGGTTCATTCACCATGATCTGGACCTGTTTGATGAACTCTGGCTCAAAAAGTCAACTGTGCCTGAATAAAAAAAGATCTAATTCCCAAAACAGTCAGCTCCTAATTCTTTTTTACAGTGTATTAAACTGTATTTAACTTGAAAAATATTACTTAAAGAAATAGTTCCCTGTTGCCTAGTGTAAGAATACTGTAACTGTACATTTAATTTAATATTGGCTATGGAGCATATGCAGGATCTACATCATGAAGATATTAGATGAAAGAAACTGGGACCTGAGCATATATGGACTCAGATGGGTTCTACCCTATCCATTCTGATGTAAGGTCATGTGTAATAAAATCTGTTCACCCACCTGAGTACAGGTCTGATCTCACAAACCCAAATATCATTTGAGTTGTAAATTATTTGTGTAGTTGTTTGAACGTACACAATATGTTATGGTTTTCCTGGAGTACAGTAAAAATGCACCTCTCATGAAGCATCAAAGTACGCACACATACAGAGTTTATCCACAGAAGCTGGAAATAGAGGCTCAAATAACATTTTAACCTCAGCCTCGGGCTTCAGACAGAAAGTAGACCTAGTTCGGGAAAATTACAAATCTTAAGGGTAAATTCGGAATTTTTACAGAACTATCTAATGTTGCGGTATTTGTTATGATAAGTTTGAATGCTAATTTTAGACATCAAAATAACGAAAAATAATGTGGGGAATGCTATGAAAGATGAGTGATCTTTTTGGATCAATTTACTGATATTTATTTGTATTTTTATTTGTTCACATTAAGGCTGATCAGATTACTGATTGATAACACAAGTTTTTATTCCAAACAATCACCATTTGCCTATTGATAAATGCTGCTATGAGGTGTAACACCTGACCTGTGGTATTTTTGTTTATTGACTCTGAAAGCATAAGTTTTAGGATTGATATCTTTAAATATACAATGCAATAGACATTTAACAGATGCAAATCTTCTAATTAAATAATGAAACATGCTCCCTGACTTAGACGTAACACAGGTTTCTGATTTTTCAAATGATCCAAACTAATTTCCTGTGTCCTAGTTTGGAAAAAAATGGCTAAATTGTACTTATATTTCTATGGGAAGATGTTGGAATATGTGCACATGAGGATTCTATGATTCTATTCTATGATTCTATACATTAATTGAAGGTGTTATGATGGCAATAACAATTATCAGCAAAGTTGACTATGTATACGAAACTTTACCTTCTTTGTAGTTCTTTGATCCGGACCATCATATTCAAGTGCCCCTGGGAATACTGTTCAATTACATCTCGCACATCATATGGTTTTCGAGCTTGCTGTGGAATACATCCCAAAAATGTATGGGGAATTTAACAATTTTCTGTAAATCAGGTTGTCTCAGATAAAGAATATATAAACCATTGTATCTGAGCCCAGGAATACAAATGTTCTTTAGTAAACTAAGAGAGAGATTATAGACAATGTTTTAAATCAAATCTTTATCCCTATTCACACCAACTAAGAGACAATTATGATTTAATTTTACTCAGTTTTAAACAGTTGTTGGTTGTGTATTTCTCCAGTCCCTCTGTTTGTGGATTTAACTTTTTAAGGACCTCAGCAACACTGTTGTAAAGTTAAACCATAAACATAGTTTCTTTCACATTTAGACCCAGAGGGTGGAGAGATACTTGACACATGGGCACACTCTCAGAAATACACAAGGAGAGACTGAATTGTCTCTTTATCCTTTCTCAACTCAATCAACACCAATTTAACTCCAAAACAACAGAGGGACACCAGTTTATCAATATCATTACTTTTAAGTTGGAGTTCAAAAGTCAAATGCTGGAGTTAATAGTCTGGAAATCCTTTGTGGTGAGGTGGGGTGGGGGTGTTGATTAGCTAGCTAGCAGTTGAGGACTCATAGGCAGTTTCTTCACTTTAAAATTTCTTCATAGGTCTTCTGAGGAATATTGCTGAAAGCGCTGCTTTACGGTTTTGACAAATGAACATTAATTATTTGTAGAAAGCACAAATGCAGTTTGTTGGTTGTTTTTTGCAAACCAGAAGTTTTTCCTCTGTGTCCCAGATTTTGGGCTTTTGATATTGTAGTGATGGTAACGAGGTCAGCCAGGTTGACATCATAGAATACGAGCCCTGGCTGACAGATAAAAAGAGGAGTGTCAGACTGAGAACTGGCTCTGAGGAAGCTGGACCACTGTCAAGGACTTTCCACATGTAAATAAAGGGTGACTTTGCTGTTGAGATGCTGGCCTCTGTGGAGTTGTTTCAGATATCATAAATGGACATTGCATGGAGAAACATTGACCCCTTAAGTGATAAAATTGTGCCATTAAAAGGCAGTCGAGTTCTGGGTTAAGCACTGTGGAAGTAAGGTCCTAGAGTCATTGAGGCATACAGCACGGAAATAAACACTTCGGTCTGACTCGTCCATGCTGACCAGATATCCTAAACTAATCTAGTTCCATTTGCCAGCATTTGGCCCATATCTCTCTAAACCCTTCCTATTCATATACCCATCCAGTTTAAATGTTGTAATTGTACCAGCCTCTACCACTTCCTCTGGCAGCTCATTCCATACATGCACCACTTTCTGTGTGAAAATGTTGCCCCTTAGGTTCCTTTTAAATTTTTCCCCTTTCACCTTAAATCTATTCCCTTTGGTTTTGGACTCTCCCACCCTGGGGAAAAGACGTAGTCTATTTACCCTAACCATGCGCCTCATGATTTTATAAGCTTATGAAAGGTCACCCCTCAGCCTCTGATGCTCCAGCAAAAATAGCTCCAGCCTATTCAGCTTCTCCCTATAGATTAAACCCTCCAACCCTCGCAACAGCCTTATAAATCTTTTCTGAACCCTTTCAAGTTTCACATCATCTTTTCTATAGCAGGGAGACCAGAATTGCATGCAGTATTCCAAAAGTAGCCTAACCAATGTCCTATATAGCCATAACATGACCTCCCAACTCCTACACTCAATGCACTGAGCAGTAAAGGCAAGCATACCAAACACCCTCTTCACTATCCTGTCTACCTGGGACTCCACTTTCAAGGAACGATGAACCTGCACTCCAAGGTGTATAAGTCCTGCCCTGATTTGCCTTTCCAAAATGCAGCACCTCACATTTATCTAAATTAAACTCCATCTGCCACTCCTTGGCCCATTTGCCTATTTGATCAAGATCTCATTGTACTCTGAGATAACTTTCTCCACTATCCACCACACCTCCAATTTTGGTGTCATTGGCAAACTTACTAACCATACTTCCTATGTTCAAGCCTGCTTGATGGTATGGAGAAACAGTCACCACCAAGTCAAAGGCTTGCAATTCAAATAAACAACTGTCTATGACCCATTGTGGAGGTTAAATGGAAAGTCATTAACATTATTAGAAAGTCATCTTATAGGTGGGGATTTTTCTTGGCAACAAACATTCTCAGTGACAATTATAATAAAATAGTTAGCATTCCAATCCCATCATGATGTTGATTGTCCTGCTGGCTTTGAATTCTGAAAGTTTCTTGAGGGTTACTGTTAAGTCCAGTTATGTGATTATAGTAACTACTTTTGCTGGGCTGTTTATTGTGCAGATGTGATGTATAAATATATATTAAAGTTTGTTAATGCATTCATGATGCCTTTGGCTGGGGCTGGGGGCTATGAACTTTACATTTTTTACAATATGTGTTCTCATTAAAAGGAAACAGGTAGAGAGATATATATTCATGCACTATTCACAAATATAAGTCACACTTGTTCAGTTATTTGACTGAATGTCAGCTTCTGCTCGCGTCCCTTCACTTAACATCCCAGAATTATGTCTTTGCAGATAAATAATTCTTTATAATGGTATGCAAAAATCCGAGATTAGACACTGCATTAAGCACAAATACCTTAACGTCATGAGAGATTGAGTAGTCTCAGTGTCTGAATCCAGCAAATAAAGCGATAGACTTCTCAATTTCAGGGATGTGTACTGGGGACCTGCACATTCTTTGGTGTCAGATCAAAGTAGGGTTTAATGCAGGTTTTAAAAAAAAAATCCCAGATATATGACGTCTGGAAAAATATCACTGACTACTAAGGGGTGCTATGAGGTACTACTTTTAATATGCAGATTTCCCTGATTGCTTCCAGAGGGAAGCTGTAAATCATTCGGATTCTTTCCAAAACCACTGAGAGTGGCAATCAAACACCTAATAAAATTTATTTCTGAGTTGAGGGAAAATTTGGGAAGGCGGGTCAGTGGTCCCTATCCTAAGGGTCACTGTGATGAACCTTTTGGCTTACCAGCACTTGCCAGTCATCAATCTCTGTCCTCTCCAGGTACTTTCACCTGATTATAGGAGGCACAGAGTGACTGGCTCACAACTTATAAAGTCACTGACTTATTGGTTAATAGCAACAGTTTACAAACAACTGGTAGAGGAAAATAAACTGGCTTTCTTCAAGCCTGTGATATTTTTTACTGCAGAGTCAAGGACACTACCTCTTCTTCCAGGGATCTGAAGGTTTCTGACTATATCATTCACAACCACAATCTGTCCAATTGCTCAGAGACAATTACAGCACTTATCGATAGGCAGAAGGCATTTGGCATTGACAACTAACTGATCATCACTCCACAGTCCAATCAGCTACTTGACAAATTTTGTACACACTCCCCAATGCCAGTTCATCTTCAATTAAACATCCCCCATTGGCTGAACAAACAGCACATGCAACAAATGTATACAATAAATATAACAAGCTGGTAGCTTGCTTTTAAAAGGTACAGCGATCCCCTCCACAATCCTTGGTTTTAACAACAGCTCTTTTTCCATTTCAGTCCATAATCAAAAATACAGAAAAATAAAAACATACAATCTTTACAGAGACCAGAGCTTCAGAGAGTTCTGTGGTTTAATTCACTTGAACTGTATTGATGGCATTTGCTAGGCTGGTTGAACTTTAGGAGAATTAGCTTTTCATGTCTTGCAGCTTTGGAGAGAAGTTGTTTAAAATCTGCCCCGTATCTGTTTGAAGAATACTGCACTCAGGTGACTGTCTGGCCACTGCTATGTTGCATTAAGGTTTTAGAACTGGGTGAGGCATCATCCTCCCTTTCATTCTGTCTATGTGGGAGAAGGTTTGGTTAATCCAACTTCTTGCTCTGCCATTGAGGGTGTGGGCTTCTTTTCATCTACAGTTATCTGCCTGTGTAAACTTTCTGCATTGCTAATTAATTCCAGACAGAAGGACTCTGCTGGCTACATTTTGGCTGTAGCTCCCACAATCTTTGCTACTTCAGCTCTAGTATGCTGGCAGTCTTTTAACTCCTTAACTGGAAGGGGCATTGCTTTCAACATGTGCCCAGTAGTACAGAAACCCTTTGGGTTTTGTTTTAACTCAACATTAGGATTATTCCAAGATAACAAGGTGTAGAGCTGGATGAACACAGCAGGCCACGCAGCATCAGAGGAGCAGGAAGGCTGACGTTTCGGGCCTAGAGCCTTCTTCAGAAAATGGATTATTCCCTTCAGTTTTTTAAAATTTCTATGAGCCCTTCCAGGACTCCTTGTTCCTTTTCAGTATCAGTTCAGCCCTTTTAATCACTCAGGGTTCAATCTGGGTTGCTTTTTGGATTCTACTGCCCCCTACAGGGCCACTGAACCTGGACCAACTTTCTGCACCTTTGCAGAACCTTGATGAAGTGATTCATCCCCTTTCTTTCCCTGGGAGACAGGCAGAACCCTCTTTACTCTGTTTATTTCCTATGAGTCTGCTCTTGACCCTATTTACTTTGGCCTTTTAATAGCTTGGCCTCCCTCAATTCCTGTGGCTGTTTGGTCTCCCTTGTGATATCTGTCTGGCCTGGGCCTTTGGTGTTACTGTGTCTTGATTGTTGGCCAGCTCATTCCCAAATAGGAAGTGTATCCCTGCTATGGGGAGCTCCAGAATGATCTTTATGATTAAGGGACCTAAGACTAAACCACACTGAACTTGATGGAGGGAAAAAGACATGCACCCTCCAATCACTCCTCTGATATGGGCCTGACATGAGAGATTGAGTAGTCTTAATGTCTGAACACAGCAAATAAAGCAATAGATTTGCTTGCTTTCAGGGATGTGTACTGGGGAACTGCACATTTTTTGGTGTCAAATTAAAGGAGAGTTTACTACTGAATTCAACCTTTGGAAATGGACTGCAACACACATTCATCCACAAAAGAAGAGAGAAATAGAGAAGTTACAAATTACTTCACAAAGATATCAGATTTATTTCACATCCATTCAAGAGTCCAGTAATTCAATGCACAGTTGAGGCTGTCTCTGTTGGTTGGGCACAGGAGTCCTTTCTGGAGGAAAACAGATTCAGTGGAAGAACTGACGAAGGTGTAGTAGTTGGAGAATCATGAGTTTGCTTCCAAAACCTTTGAGACATATTGAGATCAAAGCCTGATGTTTAGCTAAGGCTGTAGCTACTTGCTTTTCTGTTGTTCTAAGCTGACTGACTAAAACCGTTTATTGAAAGGAGATCTATACAATCCAGCAGTGCCAATCATAAAATTGGGGTTTCTGGTTGAAACACAATGCTAACAAGGTGAAGTTTGATGTCTCCTCAAGAGAAATCATGTTGTTTTGTAGCAGATAACTGTGAAGTCATTGCTAAGTTAGATATCTCATCTACTAGTCCCATGTGTTGTCTTGGCTGGAATGATTGTATTGGTTCTGGGTCCTCTTTTGTTTGTCATTTATACAAATGATTTGGATGAGAATATAGAAGGCATCGTTGGTAAGCTTGCAGACGGCACCAAAATTGGTGGCATTGTAGAAAGTGAAGAAGGTTTTCTAAGATTACAAAGGGATCTTGATCAAATGGGTTAATGGGCTTAAAAATGGCAGATGGAATTCAATCTGGATAAATGTGAGGTAGTGCATTTTGGCACAACAAACATGGGTAGTGTTTATATAATTAATGGGAGGGCCTTGGGTAGTGTTGTGGAACAGAGGGACCTAGAACTTCAGGTACATAATTTTTTCAAGTTTGCATCACATATGGACAGGGTGGTTAAAAAGGCATTTGGCATGCTTGCCTTCATTGCTCAGTCCTTTGAGTATAAGAGTTGGGAAGTCATGTTGAGATTGTACAGGACACTGGTGAGGCCTGTTCTGGAATAGTGTGTCCAGTTCTGGTTGCCCAGTTATAGGAAGGATATTATTAAGCTGGAGTAGGTTCAGCAGAGATTTACCAGAATGTTGCCAGGTATGGAAGGTTTGAGTTATAAAGAAAGGCTGGAGAATAGGTTGGGACTTTTTCACTGGAGCATTGGAGGTTGAGAGACAACCTTACAGAAGTTTATAAAATAATGAGGGGTTTAGATAGAGTTAATGGTAGTTGTCTTTTCCCTAGGATGGGAGATTTCAAGGCTAGGGGACACATTTTTAAGGTGAGAGGAAAGAGATTTAAAAAAGACATGAGGAGCTAACTTTTTACACAGAGGGTGTTTCAGGCGTGGAATGAACTTCCTGAGGGGGTGGTGGATGTTTAAAAGACATTTGGATAAGTACATGAATAGGAAAAGTTTGGAGGGATATGGACCAGGAACAGGCAGATAGAACTAGTTCAGTTTGGGATTATGTTCGACATGGACCGGTTGGACCAAAGGGTCTGCTTCTATGCTGTATGATTCTATTACTCTATGAATATACTGTCACATTTCAGAAGGTTATGATTTTGCTTTTGTTCTGATAATTGCTGGATATTTCTAAAAGCAGTCAGTTTGCACATTCTTGTCCAAAAGTACCGCTTTAAAATTCAGCAAGAGACCATTTCAAACAAAACATAAAACTAATGTAGATATTTTTAAAAGAAGGATGATTCTCTTACTACCCTCTGGGCATTACAAAGTCATAATTTGCAACCAATGTCACAGCATCCTTCACTAGCATCTCTGTATATGTGCTGTCCCACCAGTAGAACAGACCCAGCAGAGGTGGCAGTGTGATACACAATAAGGGAAAAGTGGCTTTGGGAGTCCTCAATATTGACTTGGACCCTGTGAAGTTGCATTGCATCAGGTTAAGGATGGGCATCGAAACCTGATTACCAATTACCCATCCTCTCTCAGATAATTAATCAGTGCTTCTTTATATTTGAGTATCACTTGTAAAAAGTACTATGATTAGGAAGGGCACAAAGTGCATTCTTGGTGGAGTACTCAAATGTCTGTCACCAAAAAATGGCTCAGTTGCACCACTATTCGTCGAGCCTAGACATTAAGGCCTGTGATAAGTGGCAAGAGAACCATTGAGAAGGAAAAACGTAGGTGACATTGTCCTTTTAAATCTATCTAATGCAGATGTATCTGTACAAGAGTAGTCACTGTGTTGTATTCATGGAGATGAAATCCCATCTTATACTGAGGATACTTTCCAGCATGTTGTGTAGCATTACCACCATGCGAAATGGAACAGATTCAGAATAGATCTTGCACCTCAAACAGGGCATTCAAGGGGCAATGTTGGCCATTTGTAGCAGGAGAATTTATTCAACCAAAAAATGCAAGCTCATAACGCAGCATATCTCTCACTTTACCATTGTCAATAAATCAGAGAACCAGACCTGATTGAATGTCAAGTTTACAAGTGCATGTAAGGAGCAGCATCAGACAGACCTAAAAATGGTGTTTCAACCTGATGAAACTATTGGTTGAAAATGGTAAGCAATCCCAACAGTATCTGATAAAATCAAAAATTTGAAATCCTGTCACATCCAATCAAGGGGGTGCTGGACAGCAAAACAACTAATGGGAAGAAGTAGTTACATCTAAAATGATGTGTGAGCCCATCATGTCAGTGTCAAAGATGAGGCATTTGCAACCATCATTAGCTGCTGAAACCTGCTGAGTGGATAATCAATTGCCACCTCCTCCCCAGCTCATCAATGCAAGGCTTTGATTAATTTGGTTCCCTCTAAATGACATCAAAACAATTGAAGGAACTGTGTATAGCAAAAGTCCTGACAACATCACATATGTACTATAAAGACTTATTCTCCAGAAGTTGTGACAATTTTAGTTGAACTGTTTCAGCACAGCCACAACTCTGGCATTCTGCTGACGATGTGGAAAATTGCCCAGGTATATCACATTCACAAAGTGCAAGTTAAATTCTCCCTGACCACTTGCAACCCCATCAGTTTTCTCTTCATTTTATCAGAAAGATGAAGGAAAGTGTCAATGTTGGAGTCATACCTGGCACAATGGCATATGGTTGGAGTATGGTTGGCCATGGACATAATTGCATGACTTCCTCAAAGTAATGTCTTCGCCTTAATCCTTTTCAACTGCTTCACCAATGACCTTCTTGGCCACCAACATAACTGCATGAGTTCCTCAGAGTAGTGCCCTAGGCGAAACCCTCTCCAGCTGCTTCATCAATGACCCCTGTCCTTTGTATGAACTGAAGCGGGGATGCTCACTGATCTCTGAAACTTTTCAGTAGCATAAACAGCTGTTCAAATGCTGAAGCAGTCCATTCTCACATGTAACAACACCTGGATAACATTTAGACTTGGGCTGTTAATGATAAATAACATTTGTGCCAGGCAATGACATTCTTCAGCAACAAAGAATCTAAACCTCTTTCCTTGACAGCCAATGGTATTACCCCTCTGAACCTCCCACCATTATCATCATCCTAGAGGTTACCATTGACCAGACACTTAACTGGAGCAGCCATAAAGACATTAGACTGCTAGACCAGTTCAGAGGTGGAAATTCTGCAGTAAGTAACTCACCGTCTGGCACCCCAAAGCCTATGAACCACCTACAAGACAAAAGTCAGCAGTGTGATGGAATACTTGTTCACTACACTCCTAATCCAAACAGGCCACCGGTTCCAAGTAAGGTGAACCAAACAAGTCCTTAACTGTCAAGGGTGGAGTAAAATGGGCAATGAAAGATTAGTAGCAAATATTTCCTACCACTCAAGCCTTGGGATACTTACTTCCTGTACACCATTCCTAGCCACTACAGAGAAGAAATGGATGAACTAATATTATTTTACCAACTCCATGGTTCAAATTTCCATTTATCACAGCCAGCTCTCCTTGTGCCCAAACTCAAAAGTAACTTGTTTGAAAATGTATTTTTCATTTTTACAAGAGGCAATGGCCTAATGGTGTTATCGCTGGACTGTTAATCCAGAGACCCAGGTAATGTTCTGGGGACCCAGGTTCTAAATCTGCCATGGTAGATGGTGGAATTTGAATTCAACAAAAATCCAGAATTAAGAGTCTAAAGATGACTGTGAAACCATTGTCAATTGTAGGAAAAATCCATCTGGTTCACTAATGTCCTTTAGAGAAGGACACTGCCAACCTTACCTCATCTGGCCTACAGCCAGACCCACAGCAACATGGTTGACTCTTAACTGCCCTCTGGAGTGGCAATATTTGCTAGCCTAGCCAATGACACCTTCATCCCATGAACGAATAAAATATTTTAAAACTAGATGACCCTTCCAGGTGATAATGTTGTATGTCACACGACATTGCAGAGGCATTGAGCTATGTATAAAGCCCAAACATAATTTGACATTTTCCAAATGGCACAATAACTTTAGCACTTCTATTTCTTTTTCATTAGGTCCACCAAAGCCATTGTCTAATTTTTTTTATGTTGGTGAACTGAATATTACTTCTCACCTGAAATTTTCTCCTCGCCACAAAATATTGCATTCGTCGAATCACCTTTATGGCAGCTCTGTGTGCTTCTGATAATCTGTAAAACAGTGGGGAACAAAAGTTCCATTTAATGCTTTCCAGTGAAAGAGTCGATAAATACATTGGTTGGGATGGAGCCAAACCATGTAGACTGGATGGTCTCAAGCTCCACTGGGTTGAATTATAAAAGTTAGTGTAGATATAATTAACTATAATGCACTTGGGATAGAGAAAGAAAGAACAGAACATGAAAAGGATAACATAGGTGTTATCCAAACCATTACCATCAAATATTTTCCCAAGCTTGAGTGTTTATTACCAATGAATTCCCCACATTTTCTCTTAAGTGGCAAGAACCAATTTATTGTTCATCAAATTTTCTCTTCCATTTATTTAGGTGGGATTTATTTTCCATAGAGTGACTCAAATCATTACAAATAAACTACTTGTACCTATCCAATGAAGTACAGACATGAAACGTTACTTTGATCCAAGTATAGCTTTTCTCTAAGTATGGATTAAAGTTGACTGGAACCAAGTTTGAAATCACTAAGGCATGATTTTTTTTTTCTGAAAATAGGTTTGGTATTTGATCCACAGATATCCTACATTATCTTGCCATCTTCAATTTTAACCTGTTCAAAGGGTCATCCGAAGCCATTGGGATCTTGTTTTAAATGTGCAGATCAGTGTCCATTGGCATTTTGTTCACCTAATTAATTTCATTGATTTCCTTCTGTCAGGAACAGCATGTGTGTCCAAATTACCCTCAAGTAATCCCAGAAAGAAAAATTATTAAAACTGGGAAATGAGACGTACTGGTCTGACTCATCTTGTACACATCAAAATGGAAGATTAGTATGCTCACATCCAAGTATTACTGGGTTTTCTCTCAGGGATACTTCACATTGTTGTGTGCTCACATTTTTTTTATTTCTTGGCTTTCACCCAAACCTTTGCTTACATCAACCAGCCAGCTACTTTCTTCCATTAGTTTGGGTTAGTAGCAATTCTTTAGAAAAATGTAGATGTACTTAGTGTACTGCTGACCTGTGTAATCATGTTAACTCTACATCTGCTGCAAGTGCCTTTGTGTGTAGTCTGTGGCAGGCATTAAAGTCATGATGTCAGAATGGTGGAGCTGAAAATGTATGGATTTTCAGAGCTTTAAGGGCCAGTTATTGAAAGAAAAAGCTAGAAAGACAAATAGTCTACAACTCTGAAGTACTGTGTGAGTCAAAATAGTTGTGCATTTTCCATTCTATGCTGCTGTGGATATGAAAGGAAACATGACACAGAATCAGAATTATTTCCACTCTCGGTGACAAAGCTATAAATTGCTACAGAAATGCTGGGAAAGGTGTGTTACAAGCCATTCTGCAGCCCAGACTTCACACACTGCAGAAAATCCAAACAGAAGAGGTTTTGCAGATTTTGAAAACACTTACTTTGCACCCTTATTAATATTACTTATAAACAGAATTTATTCAATATCAGAGGTCAAGGCAAGTCCAAATAATTAATTAGCATGTGACTGAATCGATAGATCTAGCTTAATCCTATGCATTTGGACAACTGAAAGATAATCTCATCAGAGAGAGGACTGTTTTAGAAACAAAGGATCTTGCCATGAGATTACATCTGCTGAGAAAGGAGATTAGAAGACATTTTTGCAGGTCTTGGCTGACTTCCGGGTGAATACTATTTCAAAGTAAATGAGAATGGGAGATCACATCAGCATCTATATAGAGAGTTCTATGTTGCCTCAGTTCCAGCTTGAATGTTAAAACAGAATAGTTGAAAAAGGGAGTTTTAAGAAATTGACAACTCCTACAAATTGGCCTGGCAGTATGGTAGCCATGGAAAAAAAAAAGGAAAATTTCGAGTATCCATGCAGTTAAAGGATCGCAACAAAACTCTGAAGAGATCACAATACCACAATACAATCACTGAAGAACTTTTGCTACATTTTGCCAAGGCAAAGTTCTTCACTAGCCTCAAAGTGAAGGATAGTTACTGGTAAGTGAAGTTGCACGAAGCAGCCATTTTCTAACTACATTCCGGATATCATTTAGTATAGACAGTAGTTACACAGTAGCATTTTCACTGCTTCAGGAAGTATCATCGCAGACAGCATGATATTTATAATCATGAAGGGAATCAAGGGTGATGGGGATGAGATAGGAAGGTGGATCTGAAGATTATCAGATTAGCCATGATCTCTTTGAATGGTTGGAGCAGACTAATTAGGCTGGATGGCCTCTCTCTGCTCCTACATCTTATGGTCTTATGGTGATAGTTATCTTCCTGCTGGGTATGTGGATAACCTGCTAGTCTGTGGATGTGGAGACACAATGGAAGAAGCCATTGCAGACCATGATCATAATCTGATGTAACTACTAGAGAGAGATTTTTAGATGAACCTGAAGTTGAACAAGAAAAGGTGCTAAGTTCAAATAAACAGGTTGTTTATTGACAGCAATAGGACTTCACCAGGATCCTGTCAAAGAGCGCTGTCGCAGGGATGCAGCAACCAAAAGATGTGAAAGCAATGTAATTGTTTGTTGGATTCATGAACTATTTATCAGATTTCCTGTTTAATTTGACATCAAATTAAAAGTATGAACCTCTATTCATGTTAACTGTTAAGGGCATACAGTGGTACTGGGGCACAGAGCAAAAAGCAGCATTCACAAGAATCAAACAACTAGTGATGACAATGCTAGTGTTGAGGTAATATAATGATGAAGTTACCTTGCATTCCAGCACTTGCAACAACCATTATGAAGCAAGGAAAACTAGTTATATTTACATCCAGGCTGTAAATACAAAGTGAATTATGTTATGCTCAGATAATGAAAGAGTGTTTGGCTATTGCCTTTGTTTGTAAGCCTTTTAATTAATGTTTGTTTGGGAGAGCCAAAGTGACAGTGGAGTCCATCCATAAGCCATTTCAAGACATTCTCCTCAAACTACTTCTAGCTGATCCAAAGCATCTGCAAGGAATGTTACTTTATTTGCAGAGATATCATCTGGACGTTGCATACTAGCAAGGGAAACAGATGTGCATTGCCAACATGCTACCGAGAACAGCACTCTTTATAAAGGATGATAAGACAGAGTGTGAAACCTTCCAGATTCAATGAGCTTGACAAGCTCTGGAAGTTATCAATGCAGCAGAGACATGAATCTGAAAAATTAATATCTTGCTCTAAACAAACAAGCTATGTAACACGATACAGCTCTTTAAGTGCTGCAGGAAGTAGTGATGAAAAGATGGCCTGAAAATAGCAATGATATACCTGTTCCTATTAGAGTACATTGGGCATACAGAGATGAAGTGATAGCCCAGGATGACATTGTATGAAAGGAAATAGAGTCATTATCCCCAAGGAGTGAAAAAAAAGATGCTGAAGCACATCCATTCAAGTATCAAGGAAGTAAGTCTAGTCTGAGGGAGGCAGGAGAAGTACTCAACTACACAAACCTGAGAAATTAGATTAGAACAGCCAGTGCACTACCTGTAACAAATACTAAGCTAAGGAACTGTTTATAACTCATGACATTCCAGTCAGAACAAGGATAAAGCTTGGACTAGTCTTCTTTACATTCACAGGAAATTATTCCTGAAAGCACACTTCAGTTGTTATGACATTCCAGACATAACAATAAATGACATCGACCCTCGATTCATGAGTGGTGAATTCAACCACTACCTAATGGCAGCCACACCATCCTCAGTGAAATGGAAAGGCTGAAGTGACTTTGAAAATCACCAAAGGGATCACTTAAAAAAAAAATCGAACAAATCGAGCACAGACTTATATGAGGCAATCATTGACTGGAGAAATATGCCTACTGAAGGCTTGGAAAGTAATCTAGCCCAATGTCTAACGTCACATTGCACTCAAGTTACTCTTGCAATCATGAAAAAAACTAATGAATCCATTATTAGTAAAAGGCATTAGTGACAAAATGAAGGTGAAACAACTGCCAACTTTCACCTTGACAAAATTTTCAAATCACTGCCAGAGCTGAGCATTAGAGAGCCAGAGTGCAAGCAGTCAATACACTAAACACTTGCAACAGAAGTCAGTTCATGTGGCAACTGGGGACCTGTGTAAAGCAATGGTCGCCTCAATTATATGCAATGAATATGAATGAGCTGATACATTGACACATCTGCAAACAAATGGATAAGCTGTTCCTCGAGTACAAGCAGATCGGGGAGAAATGATATCACTTCCCACAAAGTACAAAATGTCAATCAGGCTCAGAGATTCACTATTCTGTAGCGACAAAAATGAATCAGCAACAACACATCGACAGCACTTGTCGTAGGAAGTACATTCTCCGGAGAGGGAAAATCAACCTATAAATAAGCAGGTATCAGAGGAACAATCAACAATTTACACTAGGAATTTGGAGACCTGCATGATTTAAAGATAATGCATATAATGCATCAGCAGAGACTGATGAAAGTGGAACTGACTAGCGTTTACTCACAGTTTTGTTGGTGAATAATGAAGTTTTAAAACATATATCTATGGGGAACTTACATACCTTGTAACTGAAAATGAAAATGCATGCTATTTGTTTTTAACAAGAAATAGAATGTTTGGAGGAAAGTAATTGTATGTAGCACACTTGCAGTCTTGTTGTAGTCATGTGACTTTTACCTTCACTTTAAGTGGCTTTTTTTGCAGTCTGTGGCAGCCATTAAACACACATCACTTGAAATAACATGCAGATGATGCCAGGGGTTAAAATTGCCACATCTGACAATTATCACCTTGAATTTGTCCAGGGATTATGAAGTCACTCACATACAGTTAAAGTTCCACACATAGAACCATCATTACACAAAGAGATATTGCCACTGAAATTAAGTGTCAGATGTTTTTGATATACATAAATTTATATATATATGATACATTTACATCACGTCTTCAAGAATAACTTATGGGCAAAATTGCCATCATTCATGTTGAAGTGATACAGTTATGAATGTGGCTGAGATAACAAAGACTGTATTTGACTCAACTATACAGTCTACTG